ATCAGGAGAATTTATTTGTGACGGTTCAAGATCAAGCATAGGTAAATGGGGATTTTAGACAAAGTGGCCATGGAAGAAAACCGTCCTCTTGGATAGTGCATGATAAGACTCTCAGGCACATGCTGGGATTCTTGGTGTTGTCCTGTGCAGAGTCAGGAGATGGACATGATGATTCTTGTGGGTAGCTTCCAACTCAGGATATTCTATGATTCTAAGATCAGATGGCAGAGAAGTCCTCTTACCATCCCATCACTTTCTTTCCACAATGGTTTTAGAGCAATATAAGATGATCTGTGAATGTCTCATGGAGGAGTGAGATGGTCTCTCTTCCAACAACTATAGGATAATAAAAGTATACAAATCTAAATCACTGAAAATCTAGGAAAATTGGAGCTTCCAGACTACTAGCCTGTTCTGGAAGGTTACATTGAAGGCCTGTTCTCAGAAATAACACAAATTTCAGCCTCTTTATAGTAATTGAAATCAAGGAATTGAATTCTTTTCTACAACAGGGAAAAAGAACGGAGATCTATTCCTACTGCTGTCACAGCAAATGGAGACAGCTCTGCAGATGCTCATTTTAAGCCCAAAAGATGCCTAGAGAGTCACCTCGGCTTGTATTTGCAAGTGAACCCAATAGACTACATCACTGTTTGATGCTGGTTGACTTTTGCATATGATAGGGTTCTTCCTGCAAGTATTAAATGTTGAGTGAAAACTGGTTTTCAAGAAAAAAGTGGTGAACTGCATCTTTCCAACAAGCTCAAGAGATACCTCGCTGTCCTGGGTCCCACATAGAACTGATTTAGGTGCATTTCTTTTTCAGTCCTGTTGCTGCAAAGCTTGCCCAATTTGCTTTGACTGGCGTAATGTTCTTATTTGGCCACACTGAACTTTCTACAAGGTATAAGCTACACTACACCATGAGAAGACCTGTGATTTGGCATTTGACTTTGCAGTAGCTGTACTCAGGGCTCTTTGAGACAAAGTGTCACCACAGCTTGGAGAAACTTATCATCTAGAAGACATAAACCAAGCCAAAGATGATGTTACAAACAGGTATCAAAGAGCAAAAATTATATGCTAAGTTATGCAGGAGGAGCTATCTACATGAAAAAGGACTAGAGACTTGGTCTCTGATCTTGTAAGCCTCTGCTTAACTACACAACACATTAATTTCTTGACTTTTTGCATGGTTAGTTCTTAGCTTCCATGGGTAGAGACAGAAAAAGATTGAGCAGAAGGATGTAAAACCTAACTGGAAGCATTATTCAGGAAAAAAGATTACAAGAATGAGGTGAGGACAATAGTGCTTTTTATAATGATTGGCACATGAATGAGTTCATTGGAAATGTAAACACAGAAAGGGACTGTCAGAGAGGGTGTAAGATGAGTAACTCAGACTGATGAATAACTGTGGAAGTGGATAAGACTTCCTGCTCACCAAAGAGAAAAGCAGTGATGTAAGAAGAGGTTGGGCTAACAGGAAGGAGTAAGGGCAGCATTGCCCTCAGCGTGTTCAACTGTGTCTGTCTCTTTGCGCACAAGTCTAAATCTCAGTGCTGGTTGGTTTGACACTTCTATGTCCATCATCACCTCACTAATAATCTCGTGGTTTTGTGGGTAACTGTTGGTGATCGCTACCCTCTAAGAGGTCTTGCTACCCCCTATGAAAAAGAACATAAAAATGGGTACTCTTGACAACTGAGGCAAATTTGGAAACCCAGACAATCATAGCTCTTAGATATTTTTAATCATAGCTGCTGAGGCAACTCAACTCCTGTACAAATGTAGAAGCTAATTTTACAGGATTTCCTGTTCTTTCAGTAGCTAGACTGATTCCTGGAGGTGGATATATTTAACTGACTTTCATCTGGAGGTTGTTTTTTTCTGATACTGTTTCTTTTTCTGATATATCCCAAATTTTATTGGCAAGTATAAGTGATCAAAATTCTCAACACCTTTTGTCATGGAGACCTCCACAGACTAAGCTGCTGTTACATCATTGCCTGCAAATGAGCTGAGTAGCCCTTTCTAAGCCCATTTTATTTCTGAGGATGGGGCACCTACCACTCTCTCTGCAACATTATACTTAAGTAACTTGATATAGTCCCCTCTTGTCTCACAGGATAAATCCAGGATAAATATGGCTCAACCACCAAACCTCCTCAACATTTGAAGGCATCTCTTTGCAGAGTAAAGCCAAATCCTGTATTTGCTTATTCGCCTGCTGTTGACATAGGCTGTTCTTCGGCAAAAGTTCTTGAAGATATTAAGTACTTCTGCAGTTCTGTGTTCAGAATGCACCAACATCTACAATACACCTGAAAAGGCCTTTTTCTATTTCTTTCCAACACTTATTTACTACTCAGAGATGAATCAGAAGAGAAGCAGTGAATCAGTAAGCTGTGGACTTTTAGAGGCCGCTTGTATCAGTCCAAGGATAAGATCTTATAAAACCTTATTTCTGGAAGAAATCCACTAGACTTCATAAAATATGGTACAAAGGTGCTATGTGGAAAACAACGTAAGAACGGTGTTCCTAAATGTAGCCGCAGGTCATTCATAGATTCTGATGGCTCCTTCCTCTCTTAAGCAGCAAGATAAGCAAAGGCTTGCTATGGAGATTAACTTCCATAGAAAGGGGGATACACAAATTGTCACCCCTTTCCAGACTTGCTTTGTACCTTGCACTGATATAGGTCAAACAGGGCTTGTGAGAGGAAGGTTACATGTCAATGATGATAAAGTTGCTCTTGGGTGTTGGTGGAAGAGCCTAATCTGCACAGCAACCATCATTTAGCTCTCACAACCTACAGTTGTGTTCAAACGCTGGATGGTGAAACACTTGTGTCTGAGCAGGTTAGATCATACCAAAATGATGACTAGGAAACTGGATTGCATTGGTGTCTGGTAAAAGCTCACTGTATGCAATCATTATTTCTGCTGCTTTCTTCAAAAAATAAATGAATAAGGACTTAGCGTTATATATTGAATTCTTCCTGTGGAAAGAACAGTCAAACAACAGCTTGTTGATAAGATTCTGGGATAGTATTTTTTACAAGCAGAACTTCAAACTCCCTGCCACTTTGGACACCAGCTGTGAAGAATGTGATATTGCCTGCAGCACACTGTAGCTTTTGACAGTGAGCAAAACCAAATATAATACTAATATTTATATACTAGTATATATTAGTATATACTAATAATACTATTTTTTGGAAAAAAAATAGTACCCTTCAAAAATAAACTCTCTATCTTTTCAGCCATATTCTGAAATGAAAAGAACAGCCCTAGCCCCATATATTTCAAATTTACTGATACTGAGAGCTAACAGTTATTGTGCCAGCTCCTTGCGAGACTCCCTACCTAAGCTCAGCCAGGGGTCTGGGCGTGGCCCAGGGAAGTACTGCACTTTCAGAGGTTCACAGTCTAATATCAGCCTCACTCACAGAGAAATTAATTCCCTAATAGGATTCCAACTTTAAAATAACAGTACCTTAATGGAGACAGTAAAATAAAAGTATACTTTAAAAAAACCAAACGTTAACTTTCAGAGTGGTAGTTTTATTTGTATGCATTCAATAGCACACATGTTCTTTCATAGTAATACAAACATAGCAACCAAGAAACATCCATACCAGGTGTGACCAGCACTCCATTTCAAAGGATTCAAAAGCAGATCCAAGAAACTCCATGAGAGGCAATGACAGGACAACTTGCTCCCAGAAGAAAGTTTCTGCTTAATCCCCATCAATGTAATGCTTGGCCAATTTCAAAAAACATGAAGACTTATATCCCTTAGAAAAGTAATATACATATTATAGAACAATCTGTATTCCTTACTTATAGATTTCTGTACAGTAATATTTACAATATATTGCAAAGCTTTCAGTCGCTATCTGATTGCAAATACTTGCTTCCAGGCCATAAACCCCAGACTTTGTACCTCTCTCCTGTTGTGCTACAGCCGGGGACATTGTCCTTTGTCACAACATTGGAGCACCTTGAAACACTCGGGTGTAAACAGCAGTTCACTCTGCACACTCACACACCATTTGACTATTTTTGTTTACATAGTTCTAGTCAAAAAAAATCATTCGATTTATGACTCGCCTTTGTCCTCAACCTCAGTTTAAGCTCCTCAGACAACTGGAAAACCAACTCCACTGCTAAAACTTCTGTCCAAACTGCAATGGCCCACTTTACCACAGCTTATCACTAAAGCTGAAAAATCCAACCCCTTCCAAAGCATGTCTTTTATAATCAAATAGTGAAAAACAAAACAAAACAAAACAAAACCAACAAAACAATCTGGATAATTTTTTGAGAAAAAGACAGGTAGTGACTAACATTAGCAAGTTTTTCTTATTTTGAGGGATACATCTGAAAGACCTAGCAGAAAAAAGGAAAAGCCTGTACATGTAACAGTAACAGGAGCTGAATGAAGACTAGAGCTCCCACCATTTGGAAAAAGCACTGAATTACCCATTCCCAAGATGTATGGAAAAAGAAAGATTGTTGTCTGTTGTTGTTCTGACATACTGGGAAGTGTAAATTATTAGCTTCCCCAGAGGTATTATTAAATAAAGGGAATCTATAGCTTATCAGGGAAAGATCTTAGACAGGTCCACATAATCTCTGAAGTAAATGATACCTGGGAGAGCTTGGGATTCCTACACAGTTTGAACAAAGCCAGAGAAATTTTGCCACATATCAATGTGGAACTCCAACTCCCCAAACTATTCACAAAGACAAAAAGTGGGATTAAAAAAATATTCAGAATGGGGCCAGTTCTGATTTCACTAACCTCTGCCATAAAACCTTCATCAGTTTTGAGAATGGCTGATGTTCACTATTTTCAAGCAAATTAAACATATTCCTTCCTAACATTGAAAACTCGTGAGCAACACATCTTTCATCTTAACTTTTGAGAGCTGCTCAACTAAAAGAGCAAAAGCAAACAGAAGTTTGAAAATGAAACCAAATATTTCCTTGGAAACAAAACAAAATAATTCTCTTCTCTTGCAGTGGGGCACTGAATTGTAATGCAAAAGATTTTTCCTGCACTCTGAGCTGTCTACAGGCATCTGTATTTTCAAAGAAAAGCAATCCTTATCTCTGACAACTGTATATAAACATATATGTGGTATGGCACCTTGCAAATTGAGCATGTACAGAACAGATGTGTCAGGTTGTGTCCCTGACTAATAAACCCAGACTCGAGCCTTAAAAACCTGCATCTTAAGTGTATAATTCTTACTATAATTCTTACTATATGAGCACCATCTTGGAGTTTTCTGAGAAGCATCCTTTCATAATAATGTAACAAATACACATGGAAATTCCATTATTTAAAAAAATATCTGCCTGTATTACCTTCCCTCTAAGTCTGCAGGAGCTCACTCATACAAACTAGTTAGTTTTCTCCCAAGTAAAAAGTGGGTTCAACAATTATTTTATCTGGAATTGTTATCCAGTTATTTCAAGAACTTCAGACATGCAGACTTTAGTACGTAACACTAGAAACAGAAGACAAATGCCCTGCATTCCCAAACTGTTGCTGTAATTGAGAACCAGCCATCCAGGGACTGACAAGCACATTTAAAACATAGGGAAATGCAACTCAGATTATTTTTACCTGATGTCAACTATGTCACTTAATGAGCTCTTGAAGAACAACTCTTCCACATCCATGGTAACACAAAGTAAACTTTTAACGTCTGTAGGACCCCCAGGACAAGTCCCCAGTGTGCCAGCGGTGCAGTTATCACAGGTGGCCATCCGTGCAAATTAAAGGGAAACTAGCTTTGGGTTTTTCTTTTTGCAGTGTTTTGTGGTTTGTAATGTCCACATAGAAATGCTTTGGTGTAAGACATTTGCTAGCAAGCAATGACAGATTGGGATGTTTGAGGAAGAGCCAGCAAATTCCATGAGTTGTTGCAGAGGCCTCATTCACTACACTGATGATCCAAAGTATCAGCTTTTAAAACACATTTAGCTCAGCCAGCCCAAATGAAGCATTTTACTGATGATATTGAGTAAGGTGCTGTCTACACTGGGTGTCATGAGGGCCGGCTGTGCCCTAATATGCCTTTTTGCCTTGCAGGGCAGAAATGCTGTCTTGCATAGCCCTACTGCTAGGGAAGTTTGGCTTCACAATTTCCTAACGTGATTCTGTAAGCCACCTGATCACTCACAATACATAAAATTAAAGGTGTTAAACCACAAGCTACCAAAGTTTGCAATGTTTGCAATGTCAGAGTTGGGCACACATTGCAAACAAATTGTACTGTTCTGCAAGCAGAAACAATGCATAACCCTCCCTCAATACCTGTTTCTTGGAACCATCCTGGCAGTATTTTGGGCTATCCTTTCCCAATGGCTGAGCAAGCTGTGTGACAAACTAGCAAGAGCAAACTAGGTACACCAATTTGGTTTGAATACTCGCAGAGAAAGAGAGGTTTGGCAGGGATTTAGCTTACAACATGTTTGCCAAGTATCCCAGATAAAGTTACCACAGTTAGTCCTCACCAGCCAAGAGGATGATTTTGAATGATGTCAGGGTGAGCTCTGGTCATACAGCCCTGGTAAGACACAGCCTTTGAACGTGCAGGTGGAGTGTGTCTGTCTGCAAGGAAATGCCTGACCCAGAGGTCATTGCCACTTCGTTCCCGCTTTCTCCCCATATCCCTGTTGACAAATTCATTGCTAGAAGGAGATGGGTGCACAACACAGACCTTCTGTCACAGCTTGGACTGGCATCCTGAGGCAGTGAGCTGATGCTGATTGTTATTGTGGATGGCAGTTGCTGCTACACTTCACTTTTCCAGGGGCTTTAATTTTGTGTTGTCTTGCTGGGGCACAGTTCACAACCTCCACTTGTCATCGCAGTCTTCGACACCCTTGGGCTTGACAAGAGTGAGGCTTCCAAGGGATGGGGGTGAGGGTAGGAGGTAATAATAAAATACTAAACTTGGACAAAGTAGTCATAAGCCAGATGAGGGAAGAGTTTCTTCCTGTGTCTGGTTTTGTTCAACTTCCAAGTCAAGTATTCTGAAGAAAGAAGAAAAAAAGTGTCATTTGTTATTTATCACATCGGACAAGCATAAGGTGATACTCTAAAGCTTTTATTCAGCTGCTTATGGCTATCGCCAACATAGCGAATTCCCCACTCAGGAGATTTCTACTTGAATAATGCCCATCCATTTAAGAAGGATGCAGAAACTCAAGGCTGAATAATCTTGATTCAGCTCAGGAAGGAGGATGCAGAATGAGCCTCCTGTCTTGTTAGAATCAAGCAGGACTGACAGGGGAGGAGCTGAACTACAGGCTGAACTACAGCCATGAAACAGCAATGCCCATCTTGCTAAAGAACTTGGTTTTCTGAAGCTCACAACCCACAGTCAGACTTTGCAATCACCACTCTGATGAAACATGTTAAAGAACCCCATCCTTCAAATAGCTCTGTTATTTACATGGTGCTCCACCAGGTCCGGGAGAGCTCATGAAAAATTAAATGGAGAACATAAAATATGAATGGAATGATCACTGGCCCATAAAAGCCCTGCAGTTCTTGAAAGGTTTCATACATAATGAATGTTGGGATTTCAGAAAACAGGTTCCTGCTCCCTTGTCCAAAGAAGATGCAACAATTTTCAAGCCTCCGTATAAAACAAGGAACTTCCAAGGATGTGCTTGGGAGAGCCAGGAAGAGTACATTGCTCCCCAGTGCTACACAGGAGTCCACTGCCCATTAATAATCAGTAAGCAAACTAAACAGAGACAAATACTTGGATATTTTGAAAACATAAATATCCAACTTGATGCTGCATTATCAAAGAAAGTGTAGGACTGAACGAAAATTTTTATCAGAACTAAAAGATTTATCTTGCAATCACATGGTGATAACAACTCTCTCCTTAAAATCTTCCCAGTGGATGTAATATTTAGCTTATGGTAATTCTTAATGACCTTTGTCCTTTATTCTGGGTGCTGTGTACAGGTAGTTTTAGTTGACCCCTCTGAACTTCCTGCTTCTGTGGCCTAAATGATAAGTACGTTCTCAGTTTTCAGAAATTACCCTACTGCTGAGATCTGTCAGCTGCATATCAGCCCTAGTATCCTTAAAATTAGGTTTGTAATAAGGACCCTATGAATTAGTGTTTCCTAGGCTATCAAAAATGTTGGTGCCAAAGGCAATTGCCGCCAGTGTAAAGCGCTCCCTTGTTCTAGGTATTAAAGTTATTGCAGAATGACCACAGACTGACTTGAACAAACTTGCTGTTTACTTCATGGAGATCTTTTCACCAGCCTGTTAGGATATGTGTTAGGAACTACCATTTTATTTTCTATGGTAAAAACAAAAAGCCATTGACCAAACCCATGTGAGGTTATAGTGGTTCAGCCCCCAAAAGAGTGCTTCTCCCCTCCTGCCCTTGCCTTTGCCCTGGTGCAGTACCTCCTCTGCAGACTGCAAGCTCCCTGGGGTGCTCACCAGCATCTCCTGCCTCAGCTGCAGCATTGGACATCCTACCACTATGCAAATGGATGGGGAAAGGGCCAACTGCTCCTTCTGTGGTCTTCTGGCCCTAGACCCTAAGCCAGCAAGGGCATTCAGGAGAAAAGCAAGCTTTCATCTGGTTGTTTTTCTTGAGTGGTTCATGCTTGCTGTAATCTGCCTCCCATCCTCTGTGTTTAACAACGTTGGCAGCTGCAAGGAGCTTCAAAAAATTACCACCTTCCTCATTTCATTTTGCATATCGCCCTGGCCTTTTACACAGAAGGATGAGCAAGGAGAAACGATTAGTTCAGGAGAGCCCTTTCTTCTCTCTAAGGTAGCTTGGGAAAGGATCTGTTACATAACAACACTTCTTTAAGTTGCCAGCCAGACACCTGACAAGAATTCCTATCTGCAAGGGCTTGAAATGTTTGTGTGAAAATGGCTCTCTCTCCCTCTTCCTCCTCTTGCAGGAAGAAAATAGGGTTTTGAGAAAAGTTCTATTCTAAAAGTGAACAAAATTTCACATAATTAAAACCAATTTCAATGAAGTAAATGGATTATTGTATTATATAGATTAAAGGAATCGGGAGTGACAGCCCCACATCCATGCAGGAAAGAGGCTCAAGCACTACATTTCTCCACATTCATAAGGCCCACGTGCTCCATCAACAGCTGTGTCTACACCAAGTGATGTTCTTCTCATGCACCAGTTACGAACTGTCAGAATATATACATGTAATCCTTCATACCAAGGCCTATTCATGCAATTTTTAAATACCACACTGTAAGCTGTGGCACTTATCCTAAGGCCATTATGTACTGGAAGGAGAAAAACTGTTATCTCCTAGATCAATACCAAAGGCTCCATGAATATAGTTCTTTTTCAGGAGATCATATGCAAAATAAACACTGCTTTTTTTAAAACCAGGATATCTGCTTTTAGCAGGGCTGAATTTGTTCTGCTTCTGTCTGTGAAGTAATTGATTTCCAAGTCTAGATCCACACATTCGTATTAGTTACCTTTAGTTTAAACAGTGAAGTACCCCTCTGACCAAGGCAAACCACACAACCCATTCCCAGCTACCACTGCCAAACCACATGGCAAAACCCGCTGCAGAGGAAAACCCAAAGCCTGTGAAACACTAGGGGTTCACCTGGAACAAACTTATGGCCCCAGCAGAAAGCTGTGGAGGAAATAAGATTGCTAGCAGGACCACTGACTCAGTTTTGCTTTCCTGATACTTGGGGGCTCCTATGTGCGAGGGGAAGGAGAGAGAGTAAAGGAAAGTAAGGAAGGGAAAACTGTAGCAGTATAGTATAAATACAGTATACTCCTAACGAGTAAGAGTTTCAGTAGTAGAGTATAAATATAGTGTACTCCTAATGAGTAAGAGTTTCAGTTCAGCCTGTTATCCAAGCAACTGTAACCAAAGGTTGAATACTTTTCTAATTTTTTTTTGTTGTTGTTTTTTTTTTTCCCCTAGCATTTAATATATCAGAAATCAGAGAAAACAAGCTATTTGCAAGCAGGAATCTGCAGAGTACAGGCATCCTTCACAGACACTGAATCTTTAATTTCATGTGGGGGGGGTCTGACCTAAACCTGGTAAGCTGCAAGCATTAATTTGTTTTTATTTTGGTTTTTGTAACAACATGGATTTCTGCTTTGCAAATAAGCCATACTTGGAACACACAGTAAACGAAATACATTTTCCTTCAGCCCTTCATGAAAAGATAAGATAAACTTAGAAAAGTCAACTGCTCCTTAAAGAGGAAAGAGAAATACACAAATCACCAGGGTGAGGCTTTGCACACACCTTGAGTTCACCAGGCTGCAACGCACGCTGAAAGAAGCCATCACGCCAGTTCCTGGATCACCTTGTTATTCTCCTTGGCTTTCTTACACGTATACAACCATTTGATTATCCGAGCATTTCGCTCGACCACAGAGGTGCTGCTTGGGACCTGCTCTGTGAGTTCATCCTCCAGCAGCCCCTCATCCCCACTGTGCCTCGTAAAGTCGCTCTCAGATGTTGCCACACTGATGCTGCGGAACTTGAAGGAGACATTGTCAGACACCACGGAGAAGTTCTCTCTTCCCAGGTCCTCAATGACCTCCTGCTCCAGGCCACAGTACTTGAAAAATGTATCAAACTCAGCGAAGGACTTAGAGTAGCGAGAGCTGATGTCCGACTGGGACCGATGGAGACCTCTCCTCTTCACCTCCTTGACCTCGTCAGGAGGTATACTCAGGTTTGAGGGTCTCTCATGCTCTTTTGTACATACCCCTGGGCCTTCGGTGCTCACAGGGACCGTTTGCTCCACTGCATAGTCGCTTGGCTCGTGGTCACCATCTTTTGCCGAGAGGGGCTCATTGCTCTCAGTGCCCACGGTGTCCTCCATGACTCTGGGCAACTCAGGGGAAGGCAACTGCTTCTCCTTTATGGACCCATGGAAGATTCTCTTCACCAAGTTCCCCCGCGAGCTGTCCTGGCTTTGACCTCTCCCAAACTCGCATTTCTGACGGTAAATCACCAGGGAATCCGGCCGCATCTGTCTCTTGTGGGTGCTGCGCCTGGCGATGGGGGGGCCGTGCTGCAAGGGGGCGCGGCAGGAGTACCCCGCCTTGGCCAGCTCCAGGGGCTTCGCGCCCTTCCCTCTGCCCAAGTCCCTGCTGACTGCTTTGCTCTCCACCGAACAGGTCTCGCTGCTGCTCTCCGAGGCTGAGCTGAGCGAGATGACGGGCTCTTGCCTGGTGCTGATGACCTGCTGGCTCTTTACGTACTTGGCCTTATCGGCGGCCAGTCTCTCCACGGCACTTTTCCTGCCCGGGTTGCCGGCCTCCATCTGCCTGCGGAGGTACTCGGGCCCCTTGTTGAGGAGCCGCAGAGGGAGGGAGGAGTGCAGGTCGGAGATAGCGTGCATTCCCACGGCCCGGGAGAGTTCAGCTGGCATAGCAGTTTCAGGGACGCGGATCCTGCTTTCAGTCCCAGGGAGGGAAGGAAAAAAAAAAGAAACAAAACGAAACCAGATAGCGGTGGAGGGCAGCCGGTGCGCAGAGGCAGCGGCTCCGCGCTCCGAGGGCCGAGTTCCGCGCTCTGCTGCGCCGTCGGGGCGCCGCGTGTCCCGCCCGCGCCTCCCGCCCGCCCCGCCGGCCGGGCACAGCCAATCCCGGCCGGCAGGAAGGCAGGGAAAGAGGGAGGGAGCCGCGCTGCTGGGGGCAGGGGCCCGGCCCCTGCCGCTTCCCGCGGTGCTGGGGCGGACCGGGCTCCGGGGACACATCCTTGCCGTGGGCGCAGGGCGTCCGCACCGACGGCGAGGCACTCGGGGGGTTTGCTCCCCTCAGAAGCATCCCCTCCAGGGCCGCCTACGGGGGACGGGGCGCTGCTGTAGGGCCTGACCCGGCAGACCCCAGCGCATCTTCCCTTGCGGGGGCAACACCTCACACCCCTCCCTTCGCGGCCCTTTCACGTCTCAGTGCCTCCCCCCCTGCCCCCGCAGATTCAACTGCCCGGCCTTGCCGGGTGCTCAGCTTAAAGGCATTCTTGCCATTGGAGTGGTTTGGACAGGACGCGGCTCGGGCTTCCAGCGCATAGCGATGGAGCAGGGTCCGGGCACGCCGGGTGGGCAGCACAGATGTGCCTCCAGCTGTGCCTTCAGCTGTGCTAGCAGCATCCTGTCCTTCCCGGGTCATCGGCAGCAGCAGGGAGACATTTGTCCCCGGCCCACAGCTGAGCTGCGGCTGTGCACGAATAAAGTGCTGTGGAATGGCATAAATCTGAATTGCTTGTTGTAAATCTTTGCCCTTCAGAAATACAGGGCAGATTTCCAAAGGGGCAGAATTCCCAATTGGGACTGGCAATTCTGAAGTAGCAGGACAGAGACATTGGTTGTAATGTAAACACCTGAAAATTAGACATATAAGTCATAGGTAATCACCTGGGGCAGTTCAACTTTAACTCATGATCACATGTGAAATGCAGCTCCTCTGAGGTCAATAATAACTGAATTATAGATAACTTTTCTTCTTACATAGGAAACAAAAGCCAATTTATATATGTAAGGTTTTCCATGCATATTTTTTGTTGGTTTGGTTTGGTTTGGGTATAGTTTGTCTGTTATTTCTGGGGGATTATAACATCAGAACACTTTTGTGGTGATTGATTCATACTTGATCTTTATAATCACTAAATTGTGGCAAACAAGTTTATAAAAGGAGAGATGAGCTCTGTCCTCATGATGCAGTTTCAGGGTATATGACTGCTGCCAGCAAGGTTCTCATTGTGACAAGGGAAGTGTTAAAAGCAATTCTGGAGTTAGAGTTTGGTCTAGCTCTTCAGTGTAGACCACCTTAGAAACACAAAACCCAGAAATATTCTCTTACCATCATGCTTCTACTGCTGGTTTTCCTCTTAATTTTACATCATCTTTGTTTCTAGAGATGTAGGTCTGCACTCCAGAAGCCCTATGACACACACAACTGCCTGTTCACAGCAAGGATCTCAGATATGATGCTTGCCTGAATCAGGACTGAAATTAGTGACATACTCTAAAATCACTTAGAGTGAAATTCTTGTGATTATGTGGAATGGGTGTATTTTTTGAGAAAGAACTTTTTTTTCTTCTACAGGTAAACAAGTAGAGCTGGTTCATATAATGACTTGCCTAAAAATTAATATTCTCAAAAACTAAGAGATAATAATAAAAGTTTAAGCACAGTTAATTACCGGGGAGCACTTTCTAGTTAAAGCAGTTCATACACAGATGTGTAAGAGTGTAGTTAATATAATTACATATTTAAATGTTGCATGGGATGCTGGGCATATAGAGAAGACTGATGTCTTCTGACAATGAATCTGAGCAATAAGCTGATAGATGTGCTGAATGTAGTTGTGAGGTTAAAGTTTCATTCCTATATGGACAAATCTGTCTGAATTTTTTCCTTCAATCTTTTCTTTGGAGTCCTATGGCACTGCATAATGTAACAACACATATTTACATTCCGCCATGCATTTTAATTTGTGTTTGTTCCAATTTCTAGTGCCTTGTATGTCTGAGCTTTCAGAACTTACAAAAAAACCCTAATTTGTTTGCAGTCCTTTGGAATAATGAGAAAAATGAACACATGAGTATCAGTAAGAGTGATCTTATTAAACAACTCCAATTAATTTCCTTATCAAGGCTGTTTATCCACTCCTTGTCACATGCAAAAGCCACTAGCAAAAGCAGAAATTCTATATTTTGCTCAGTGGACAATAGATTTGTGTTTAGAGTTGATACATAAAAACAATGAAAAAATACTGTTTAGGATGAAAAAAAAGTTTAAATCATTAGAAAAAAAAGAAGAGATATTTTCCTTTCTCTTAAAATGTCCTTGGTTTTGAATGCATGCCTGAAAGACAAACCTAGGCACTTTTGTTGGAATATTTTCATTTTCAGCCTGTTTCATTTTCAGTCATTTCCCATTCTCACTGACAAAGGAAGATGTGACTTTTGATTTTCCACAAAGTGCATGTCACAAGAAATTTCTCATGAAAAATTGCAACAGCGATTTTCAGCTGCCTTTCCTGATATGTGAGATACTTTTCCCTGAGAATCCTGGGTGATGACAACAACATTTAAAGTCGGAGAAGAGTCTTCCTAGAGTCAGGAAACATTGTGAGCAACAAAATTTTATAACCCTATCTCCTTTAATAAGGTACATCAATATAGCAGCTGCTCAGTTACATGATATTTTAAATATATTTTGGTCATGTATTTTAAAACTTAAATGCATTTCAGTTTAAAATATGATTCTATGCTTTGAAATATTTCTATTTCTATCTCTTGTAATTACCTTTTACATTTATGGATACACTCTTGCAATGTTCAAAGAAGAGAGAGCCATAGCATTTCTTCTTTCTGGAAAGCAGAGAGTATATTATGAGAGCCCCAAGCAAACCACCTTTGTCCCTGTCCCAGCACAGACTTGCAGACAATAAAGTGGAAATAAAAATGGGTGCAGCAGCATCAATCCCTCAGCCTGTCAGCTGTCATCAGTCGCTCTCTGGCATCAGTGCATCAGGCGAAGGTAAGAGAAACAAGTTCTGCACACACTAAGCCTTGAGCTGACACCATGGGTTTTCACACAGAAGGGGAGTTTTTCAAAACACCTTCGAGTCAGCTGGCATTTAAAGTTATCACTAAACACAAAGCAGTTTAATTTTATGTGGGGTAAGACAAATCACTGCTTACTCTGTTTGTATTAATAAGAGATGTGTTTGGGGCACATTTTCCTGTAGCTGGAGTCTGGGAAGTCAGTAACTGAGAGCCGCTGCAATGAGACTTAGCAAAAAGTACAGTGTGTGCAAAGCTTAGGTCATTGCTGTCACTGCTCCTACCCCATTGCCAGTGTCATTTGATTTACAGTGGTCAAAGGGCAAAAATGAAGTGGTGGCAGTGGGAAGTAAAGGCAAAAAGGAGAGAGAAAGGGGATCTCAAGCCCTAACAGAAGTGGGACACTTCCATTTTGGAGACCACCAGAACAGCTGTGTCCCAGGACTGAGGTTTCTCCCCTGCAGCAGCTCTCGGTGCCGGGTGCAGGTGTTGCAGCCCAGATCAGAGTGTGGTTAGCTCCTGCTGTGGCATTCTGAGTGGTGCCACTGGGTGTCCTGTTTGCTGCCCTCGGGTGACATAAAGCAGCCACAATCCAGAAATGAACAGTTTCCAACCAGATCTCTCCAGGAGGGGAAGAGCCAGAGTTTTCACAGTAAAATACAGCTATGATGCTCTGGAGGAAATAAGTAAGTTTACTTCCAGACCAATTCTTCTTGATCCTGAAAGGGATTCTTTGGATTTTGAATTGAAATCCTTTATGAATGAATGCATGTTACATGTGTTAAAATAAACTTTGCACTCAGATAAAGGTTCTTACAGTTGCTTCTGTTGTGTATGAGTTGGATAAGTGTTCCCACAGTCATAGCTTGCAGTTGTAAAATTGCCTTCCTCAGCGATTGCAAAATCCTTTACAAACCAGCTAAGCTCATACACAGGCATTTCACCCAACATAGGGATTGGTCAGGGCACTTCTTAAGTATTTTATGCATTTTATAGGCAGCCTTGAGCCTAGTCTCATATATAGTTAGCTTTGGTCCTAGAAAACCCTTTCACCTAATCAAAAGCTAAAACCTATAAAAAGCATTTAAAGTCATACAAATCTCTGTTGTTTTAGTGAACTTTCAGTATCTGTATGTCACCTCAAAATTCTTTCTACTGTCTCTTTGCCTGGTAGATGTCTAAAACATCACTGCAAAGTTTTTGCTCTTGCTGTGCCAAGACATTACATATCTATCCGTGTGCCCAAACAGCTGAGAGATACAGCACATGGTTATGTCCCATGAATTCCTCTGTGAATTTGCACACATGGTAACTCTCAGAGTGCACAGGCCAGATTAGGAAGCATATGAAAGGTCACTGATGACTGAACTTCTGAAAGAGGATTGCCTGTTGTCTGTTATATATAATTTATATCCTGCTAGTTGGGTTACTCATCTGGCAAGTGTGTGAGACCATTTTCCCCTCCCAGATTTGGAGCAAAGTTTTGATATTGGATTTCTTGCTTCCCAACACAGTAGCTATAATGTGGGTACTGTAGTTCATTGTCACTCAGGTTCTGTAGCTGAAAACATTTTTATTCTGCTTGTCTAATTAGAAATTTACTGAAGGTAGTGGGCAGAAGATGTTAATTCTATAACCTAATACTCATACACCTAGGAAGTGCATGGATTTTTAGTTACTGTTGCAAAGTAGAAGGATTTAAACAAGGAAGGTTGAAAAAGTCTCACCTTCAATGCTGGCAAAGGTATTCACTGGAGATGTTCATTCAAATCACAATATGATATCTAAAAACTTCAGCTCTTCTACTATGCATGCTGTTATAAGCTCTCCCAGTCTAATTTTCAATGATACAGACTCAAATTTAGAAATCAAACAACAGGATAATATTCGTATTTGAAAATTCTAGTGGTACATAGGA